GGAACCCTGCTGGCTACAGAGAATCCCAGCACGTTAGAAAAACGTGCCTCTTCCTCCAGGCTGCGATTGCCACCTGCTGGCAAGGAGTTAGAAGAGCAGAAAAAGGGCCGAGCGCAGTGGATCAGCCTGTAATCCCAGCACTTTGGGAGGGGATTGCCTGAGCCCGCGGGTTCGAGATCAGCCTGGGCAACTCGGTGAGACCTCGTCTCTGCAATAAATCACACACACACACACACACAAAAACTAGCCGGGTGTGGTGGCGTGTGTCTGAGTTTCGGCTACCTGGTAGGCTGAGGCGGAAGGATCGCCAGAGCCCAGCAGGTCAAGGCTGTGGTGGCCGTGAGCATGCCACTGAACTCCAGTCTGGGCGACAGAGTGAGACTCCAACTCAAAAAAAAAAAATTAGCCAGGTGTGGTGCCTATAGTTCCAGCGACTAGAAAGGCTGAGGTGGGAGGATCCCCTGAGTGCGGTGGTCAAGGCTGCGGTGGTCAAGAGCATGCCACTGCCCTCCAGTCTGGGTGACAGAGTGAGACTCTGACTCAAAAAAAGAAATGCGGTGCGGGGAGCAGTGTCAGTGGCCCTGCATGCAGAAGGGACAGCCCGAGCCCAGGATGGTTCTTTCCTTCCCTGTTGAGGGTGAGCGGATCACTAGCCAGTCCATTCCCACGCTCCAGGATCGTCGATGGCCCTCCGCCGCCCTGTGCGAAGAATGCTTACTTCCTTGGCCTGCCGACTGGGGCTTGGGACTCCCTTGGCCCGGCCCACGCACGCTCAGAGCTCCTCAGAGCCCCTCAGCCTCCTCCACTAGCATCCCAGGATCTTTCAAGCCCACCTTTGCTCAGCCTGGTCTCGCCACCTCACAGGCCTCCTCTTAACCCTGAACTCCTACGGTGTCTTTGAGATCCAGTGCCAGCTGTCCCTTCCTTGTGGTGCACCTTTACTTTCCTGCTGGGGCCAAATCTCTTCCTCACCAGATGATAACAGTGATGATAACGGCGACGATGACAATTGTCCTTTCACTGAGCACACACTGTGTGCCCAGGGCTGTGCTGCTTTATGTCTGTGGCCCCCAGGGGTCCTCCTAAGACCGCTAAGGACTGACATCCCATTTTACAGATGAGGAAGTCACGGCTCAGAGAGGTTAGGCAACACGTCTAAGGTCACACAGTGACAGGCGGCAAAGCCAGGGGCTGAGCACCAGTCTGCTCACACCCAACACCGGCCTCTCCTCCACCAATTAGGAGCCTCAGGGGCAGGGACTCCACGTGGGTCACGGGTGAGTCCCGGGGCCTGGGCAGACGTGTGTCCAGTGAGGACACTCCGGCCAGGACCTGAGTACCCCGAAAAGCATGAGACTCTGGGCAGAAGCATCACATCACAGCCCATGTGACCGGCAGCCCCGTCTGGGGCTCGAGACCTCTCTGTCCCCCTGCCCCTCCCTGTGAGCTGACCCGGCCAACCAGGCAGCACCCGTGTGATGCTGGGGCTGACGGGGACACGTTCCGTCCTCGCGGTCACCAGCAGAGACGCCAGGCCTGCGGGGAGGGCCCGCCTGGGAAGGTGCGAGGCTGCCCGCGTGCCACCCACTGCCAGGCCGAGGCGCCCAGGGCGTCCGCCTCTCGGAAAGCCTCGCGCCGGGGCCCCACCTCAAAGGCCAGACCCCAGCCCGAGTGCCGGGGAGAAGTGGAGGAAGCCTGGGCGATTTTCCACTGCTCTGACTCTGAGAACGGCTCTCGACCCGGTAACCGAGCACTCCAGAAATCGACTCTATGGGGGCACACCCATCGCTGGCCGGGAGGTCACGTGCGGGCAACAGGGGGACTGGACTGGGGGTGGTGACAGCAAGAGGCTGGGACCCACCGCCTGCGGGGTAAGGAGCCGGGGGGGAGGGGCGCTGGGCAGGCTGTGAGCAGCTGGGCCAGAGAGATCAGTGTGCCTGGGACGCTCTGGTGTGTCCTGGGAAACCCCTCCGTCCTGGGCAAACCAGATGGTTGGGCTCGACAGAAAGAAAGTGGGAGGAAGCCGGACAGACAGATGGCGAGAGAGGCAGAGTGGAAGGGAGAGGAGGGACAAGGCACGGGGGAGGGGGGAGTCAGCAAGATGGGGCGGGGAGGAGAGGGCCGTGAGTGGGCACAGGCTCCTGACTGCGGAGAATCCTGGAGGCCTCCATGGAAGTGTCCGAAACACCGAGGCCGCGCCGTGGGCATTGCCGACGAGGCTGAGCTCGCCTGGGCCAGCCCCGGCAGCTGGCGGGGGTGCCCTCCATGCCTCCCTCCTCCGGCTCTCTCCAGCCTCCTGGGCACCCGGGGCTGCCCTGCCTGACCCGGTGGGCTGGAGGCGGCTGGCACCGGCCTGGCACCCGCCCCTGGAGCCTGCCTCGTAGGAGCTGTCTCCTGCCTCCAGGCCCCACGGGTTGAGGCTGTCAGGGGGACAGGGGGCCAGCTGCTCCCGCCCACACGCCCATGTCACTGCCACCCCTGGTTCCAGGGCCACGAACAGGGTCTGCCCTCCTGTACTGCTGACGGCAGGGGACAAGCCGTTGCCTCGCCTCCTCTCACGCCCTTCCCAACCTCTTGGCTTCAGGGTGCTGTTCCGTCCGCCGGGAACAGCCTCCTTAGCTGGGATCGTGGCTTGGGTCTGTCCCACCAGTGCTCAGGCCTTCCGCAGCAATGACCGCTTAACCAACACTCTCAGATGTCGGAGAAACGCAAATAAAAACCGCAACAAGAAACCACTGCACGCCCACTAGGACGGCTACGGCCAGAAAATGGAAAACAACAAGTGTTGGCGAGGACACGGGGAAGCAGGAACACTCTGAACTTCCTCAGTAAACGAAACACAGGATTATCATGTGACCCAGCGGGTCGTACTGCCAGACGTGTGTCCAAAAGAACGGAAGACAGGTGTCTGGAACACGAATGCTCACAGTAGTGCCACTCAAAGTAGCCAAAAGGGCCGTGTGCAGTCGTTCATGTCTGTAATCCCAGCACTCTGGGAAGCCAAGTTGGGAGGACTGCTTGAGCCCACAAGTTCGAGACCAGCCTGGGCAACACAGTGAGACCTTGTCTCTACAAAAATATCAAAAAATTAGCCGGGCGTGGTGGCGTGGGCCTGTGGTCCCAGCTACGCCCGAGGCTGGGACGATCACCCGAGCCCACGAGGTCGAGGCTGCGGTGAGTGTGATCGTGCCGCTGCACTCCAGCCTGGGGGACAGAGTGAGACCCCAGTTCAGAAAACAAAAATACAGGCCGGGCTCGGTGGCTCAGCCTGTAATCCCGTGCTTTGGGAGGCCAAGGTGAGTGGATTGCCTGAGCCCGCAGGTTCGAGACCCGCCTGGGCAACTTGGCGAGACTTCATCTCTACAATAAATCAAAAATTAGCCAGGCGTGGTAGCGTGCACCTGTGGTTCCAGCTACTTGGAAGGGCGAGGTGGAAGGATCGCCGGAGCCCAGCAGGTCAAGGCTGCGGTGGCCGGGAGCAGCCACTGCACTCCGGTCTGGGCAACAGAGTGAGACTCCAACTCAAAAAAACCCCAAAAAACAAAACCAAAACCAAAATACAGTCGAAAGAGGGCCTGCCATCCAATGAAATATTACCTAGTCAAAAAAAGGAATGAAATTCTGATGCAGCTGGGGGAGTCCTGAAACGTGTGAGGTGGGTGAGGCAGACACAGAGGCCACACGTGTGACCCCACTCCCATGCGTGCTCAGGACAGGCAGAGCCACAGAGACAGAGAGCTGCAAAGCAGTTGGCAGGGCCTGGGGAAATGAGGGGGAAAACAAGGCTGGCTGCTTGTGGGGCTCTCTTCTGGGGGGCAGAGGTGTTGGGAATTAGACAGGGGCTGGCTGCATAACACTGTGCTTGTACTAAAGGCCACTGGAATGCATACTTTTTTATTTTTTAATTTTTAAAATTTTTTTATTTTTTTTGAGCTGGAGTCTCACTCTGTCGCCCAGACTGAAGTGCAGTGGCTGCTCCCGGCCACCGCAGCCTCGACCTGCTGGGCTCCGGCGATCCTTCCGCCTCAGCCTTCCGAGTAGC